ATCTTAAAATTGTTGGTATGTTTGGTTGCTTTCCTATATAAACGTCCAGAAAAAACATAAATTCCGTGCAACCAGTCCTCTCTGCAGGCTTTTATAAATCTAGGCACCAAAATAGTGTACATAGTCGCAAATAATACCGACGTAAGCCAATTCCTATTTGATTTGTCCGGCCAATCCTCAATACAGGGATTTACAGTGTGAAGCGATTACTGACCAAGCAATCCCTTTGGACAAAACGACAACAACAAAAAAATACGAGTATACATCAGAAAATCCAGCGGCTTCTGATATATCGAAAAGCAAATTTGTTATGTTTGTAAATATAATATGACGTGTACAACAATGGCCGCCAATAAATCACTCACGGTGCTGTGGACACAATCGCGATCGGAAGATGCCGGAACTACACTGATGAATTCCGAACCTCGCAACCACCATACCATTGTTGCCAGTCAGGAAAATATAATAGTCTACACGAGGCGTCTGACTCATACAAATTATAGTAGCATGGTTGTTATGATTTTAAATTTATGAGCCATGGTTTAGTGGTGGCCTGTGCGTTTATGGAGTACAGTAAATTGTTCCATTTTCCACTCCTGCAAAAATATAACATAACATAACATCACGCCTTTAATCCCCGGAGGGGTAGGCAGAGGTGCACATTACGGCACTTAATGCCACTGTACAATGTAACACCCACTTGTCACTATTTATGTTATGAGTCCCATGTTATAGGGGGTGAGTCTATTGCCATATACTGGACACAATTCCAGACTCCGTGCTACTACTGAGAATTTTTAAAAACCCAGTAATACTTTGCCCGACCCGGGAATCGAACCCGCGACCCCTTGCCCCTTCATTAATTTCGAAATTATGGTAGCTAATTGGTATGATAGCTAATCCATTGTAAGATTAGACGTATGAGTCCGGTACAAGTTAGTTTTGTGTATAATGCTCAGTAAGATAATGTATAATCGATAAGGCAGATATATTCTACAGCCTCTATTTACCATTATTCGATAAAGCAATAACCGTACGTATGTATGTATACAACCCAGTGTGAATGTACTATTTGTATAGCACGCAAATGCAATACGTTGATCCGTTTTGCATACATTAGGCTCTTCTCTAAAACTACTTTTGAGTAAAGTAAAAAATAAAAACACGTTTAGGTTAAGATTAAAAACTTTTATTTTGACATCCCAAATTAAATTTAACGAAATAAATATTGACAAATTTTTATCTAATTTCAGTTTATTATTCGAACACAATGAATTTATACTTACTTTTGTTTGCCATCTTGGAAGTCTGTGCGTTTTGTGTGGGTGCTCATACTCACCGTGTTGTAGTACTTTAAATCTATTATTTATGTTTTGTTTTTATTTAGGTAACTGTATTTTTTATTTATATTTTAATGATCCTTGTTTTCGTGTGCCAATTGGCCAGATAAATGCATTTTCTTTCTTTTTTTCTAAAGTTCCGTGTTTAATTTTACCAATACCATTATTGCTTCGACACATTGGTTTCCGTTTCACAAAATACATCATTTGCAACGACAAGAACTTCTAAGTAGGTTCTATAAATAGTATCCCAGTATCCCATAGGAACCATCCAAACTATTACGGTTTTACAGATGAGTGCCTCTGGACCTAAAAATATGATGATAATTTCACGGTCGTCGATGACAAACAATATGGTACCTGAGTTCACCCTGACCTAACCTAATCTAAATGTAACTAACCTAAGCAAATTTGCACAAGACATTTATGAGGTCAAATTGTACTCTGGCCTAGTGATTCAACAGTTAAAGTGAATTTTGTTGATAGTTAATTGTTTGACTTTAAGTTTAAACTAAATTCTGATTGTGATTCTTTATTTACCTAAGTTTTAACTTCATTAGAATGAATTTGATCATTTTCTATTTGTTCTTTTGTTAGAATAGCAATTTAATTGTTTATTGTTTTGAAAACAATTGCGGTTTTCTTCTTACGTATATACAAAGGTGACGTATCATTTTTATTACCTTTGATTCATTAGAACTTGATTATGACATTCTTGAACTCTGAATGTACAACGAAGATTCATTATGTACTTTTGTGTTGAAGTAGGTGCCGTCATCACCATTTCTTCTCCTATTGCATGTTATATATTTGCTTCTATTTCTCATAATTCATTGATAAGGTTTTCGCTAGTTGTTACTTACTCTCATTAGGATGCTGTCATCAACTTAAATGTTTACAGACTTCTCATTCAGTCAAGAAGCCATCATAAGGTTTAAAGAAAAATCGTGTATCTACAAACTCATACCTTTTTAAAGTTAGTTAGAGTCTTCTTTTCGTCTAGTATGTTATTTCTTGTATTACCTATGCCAAAAATGAGCAATCTTAAATACTGTACTGAGAAACCAATAAATTTGTAAGTTCACACTAAGTTCGTATTATGAGAATTTTAAAAAAATCTTCATTCAAAGCTGGATTCTGCCATTCGTATATCCACTGTGGTCCAACGTAGATGAATCTGTAAGCCATTTCACGCTCGGTGACAAATTGCCACTGTACCTTTTATTGAAGCGTGCATAATAAAATTGGTTGAGTGCGCCAGTCGCCATCTTGATATGGACGCATCCGGTGAACAAAAAGTTTTGGACAATAGAGGATGGATGTAATAAATTAATCATAAAATGTGAATGAAACTTTATTGCTAGGGGTTTAATGTTTGATGTAGAGCAAACTAATTTTGTCTATTGAAAATTTTGTCGTCATTAAATAAGTTAATTAGCTGGATAGTTTTGTTTTGTGTGATGGGGTCATCGAACCTTTCATCTCAAAGTACGTTATTTTCTTCTACAATATTTTATATTTCTTTTAATTTCTTGTCCGAGCTTAGTTCGAAACATTGAGTGCAAAAAATATTTGAAACTTTATCTACTTACAAACTAACATTTATTTTCATTCTACCTGAGAATTGAACTTAAAAATTGCCTTTACATCTAAAAAACTTGGAGAGGCTATTCTAGAGTTAATAAAAAATAACCTAAAATAAGCACTCTACATTTATTTTTAAGTGTAGTGTGCTTAATTTAACTTATTCAAATAAGTCGCGGAAAACCTAACGGGTTACCGGGGCTCCGGCTCGACGTGCAGGAGAAAGAACGGGGTGGTTTGTAGTCAGTAAGAGTCTGACACTCCCTCCCGCCTCACCCAGGCGGGAGCAGTCATTCGATGATTTTCCCCCCTTAAAAAAAAACTCATAAAAATTAACCCAATTTCATAATTTGTTTATCATTCAACAACTATTAAAGAGGCAAAAATAACGCACTCCTCATATAACAAAGGGCTACATAAATTCATCCAAGAAAAAAAGGTGACGTAGGTGTAATCAGCAATCATTTCTCATTTTCATACATATCATGATACAACATGTCCATACATCAAAACGATGTACTTACAAATATTGATAAATGATTCGGAAAAAATAAATTATGACGAGCCCGGTCAAGTTTACTTAAGAAAAGTTGTTCTTCAATGGTGCTAAACATTAAGGCATCGGTTTCTTTCTTTAAGGGGATTGGTAGAGGTGTACTTATTGATACACTTTTTGTTGGTTGTGTTATTGGTTAGGACCAATCTCTACTAGGGTAGAGACTAGTTTATTGTTTACCACCGAGTATGGTCCAAAAATCTGTGCTAGTTATGAAAAGTACATAACATAACAACACGCTTTTTATCCCCAAAGGGGTAGGCAGATGTGCACATTATGCCACTGTACAAGGTAACATCCACTTTTCACTATTTATGTTACTAGTCCCATGTAATAGGGGGTGAGCCTATTGCCACATACCGGGCACAATCCAGACTCCGTGCTACTATTGATTTTTTTTTAAACACAGTAATATTTTGTCCGACCCAAGAATCGAACCCGAGACCCCTTGCCCGGCAGTCGCACTTGCGACCACTCGGCCAACAGGGCAGAGAAAAGTACATATTTAAAAAAATTTACATTTTAGGTTTCAGAGAGAGGGTTTCCTAGGATCAGACTGGTCGTAGGATTCTCTATTTTTAAACCCTTGACAAAATTAAAGACATTATTTCTAAACGCTTTCCTATAGCTAGTTTGCAATGACTATTATTATCATTATATATTCGTAAAGTTATTCTGAATTAGTTATTCTACAACTGTACAAAAGTATAAGTAGGCAAAGCTAAAAAAGTCATCATGACCCGCCCAACATATTTACCGTCTCTGCAAACTGCCATAATTCTCGTTGCGAACCGAAGGAATCACCAAACCTTCAATTTTGCCAACATTCCATGACCTACCAACTATCTCAACAGCAAACTGCTTACCCCATAATATAATCTTACGTAGCCCCTGATCGTAAAACCAGGCCGACCGTAAAATATAGCTTCGGGCAAAAATGGTTTCAGACATCCAGTGTAAAATTGCAATGTTCAAACCAAATCTCTTATCAGAAAATGAACTGATTTTAATCCTAATTATAGAACCTCGACTAAAATAAATCTGGACCTGGTTAATATAAAATTTTGCCGTCCAATTATAATTTAACATAAGCAACTTTATCACGACAACAATTGGGTTCAAAATTATTAGGATAGCTCTACAACTATTCGAAACTTCCATCAATTGCAGTTTTGAAATAAACGCCGCACCGCTTTGAGGTCTCCCGCCATTATATCATAACAATAAATCCCTCGAATAGTCAATGAGCTCGCCGACAACAGGTAAAGAGACACCCAAGTTGCCAAACCAGTTTAAAAACATAAACTTCTCCATTTTACTACAGCTGGTCTGTAGTGTATACTTGACTACGAAGCAAGACCGATCTCCATGCAAAATAAAACGAAAATCAGGAGCAGTGTGATTAATAACACTTATTTCGGGCTTCGAGAGGGTTTGCCAGGATCACGCCAGTCCAACTCGGATGCGCCCTATGCGTTCGCTCAAGCTAGACGACCATTCGTTCATCACTCGTCTCGACTCCCGTACCGTTCCCTCAGTCGGTCGGCCGCCTGCGTCGCGAGCGGACGTATCGCGTTCTACGAATTCCTCTCTACACGTAATCGTCGTAATAACCAACAAAAAATAAAATAAACTGTGACTGGTCTGTGTTCACGTAACGTTCTCTCGTAAAGGGAAATACGGCTTTAGCTAACTGGATACACGTCGGTTTTACAACGTTTATTGTTTTTAGTTGGCAAGTGCAAAATGTGATGTTATGTGTGCTCAACGAGCGTACCGTCCTGTGTAACGTTGCCTCAAAGTGAACTACATGGATGTAATGTGCTTTTAAAATTGGAAACTCATAATCTACCCACTTCGCAACCGGATTTTTTATTTGAGGTTGGTATAATAATTCAAGTAACTTTTTTATTGGTCGCAGCGTTCAGATAAGATTATAGTGTAGGAGTTTGCTAAGTGACTAATAAAGTCAAGGTGAGGTAGGTAACAAACACGAATTCATGCTAATATCTAATGTACATTTACGTACATGTATCATATCGAATCAGTGGAACCGAATAGAGTAATATTATTAGACCGGTAGAGACCACAATACAAACTAACAGAACAAATAAATTCACGATTCACGATGATAGATATAGAACAACTGATTTCAGAGAAATGAGGAAATGCCAAAATTGTTTTAGATAAACTGAATGAAGCGATGCCGAGGGACAACAAAGGAAAGATCTCGGAAAGAATTGATATTGCGCTCCATTTCGCCAATGAAGGTCAATTGCATCTTCCATGTCTCATCGAAACGGTCAATAAGATTTGAAAACACAGAATGAATAACAATAAACAAGATACTGATTTCCAGTTATCCAATTATCTTGGCGAAAATCCAACTATTGGTTGAATTTTAAGCAATGTTTATACTTATTACGTCCCTGAATCTAAGATGTTTCTATTTAGACCATTTATTGCATAGTCAAGAATTCATTTTTACGAGTTCTCCTTTGTATACCCCGTATTAATTACATTCTCTTTTATCTGAAGTAATTTAAATTGTTGGCCATTTCACTTTACGAAGAAAATAAGATTTTGGACAAAGATAAACTTTGGCGGAATTTATTTCTGTTTCTTCTTTTTTCAAGAGCTATCGTTAGCAATAGCAATGTGATTACTTTTATCAATGTTTAGTACAATGTCTTTTATTTCATCAGTTTTATTTTCCTCTCGTACGAGATTAGATACAGTATCATTTTCTGTTTATTTGAACACTCAATCTCCATCAGTATTTATGAAACGTTTAGTCAACCGTAGAATAATATTTCCTTCGTCAACGAATTGATGTGTGGAACGTATTTGATAAAGTAAACATTCACGAATGTTATTATAAAAGAGTTTATCTGTGTGGAATCGTATCTTACGTTTAGTAGAAAATATTGTGTAAACACAAGTAATAGTACACCGTTGGTCCGTTTGTTTGTTTATCGTACTGTTTCTAAGAACTCAGTGTCAATGTGACCGGCGGCGTATTCATTAACTGAAACGCTATAAATGTAAACATGTCACACTTGCGCAATCGTAATCTTAGGCCTCCTTTGAGATACGGCTTTATAAATATGTATCGTGGTGTGTAAGAGGAATATTTGATTTCTATTCTTTGTCTTAGCTTCAATATTTATCGTAAATTAAGTTCAACGCCACAGCTTACGTTGTGTCTTTGGAAATTCTATCGTCTTTATCAACTAACTTTCGCATTTTGCCATTAATCATGCCTTAGTGTTCCTAATTAACGTCTTTCTTGTTGTTTGATTCTGAAAAATTAAATTCCCTTTCTCTCAACTCCTCGATATTAGGTTTCGTTTCAAAATAGCAATTGGAACAATAAGAAGCCCAATAAACAATGATATCAAAGGACATAGGTACTTGTTTAAGGAATTTATACCATCATGAAAAGTTCCGCTCTTTTAAGAGTTCTCTCTCGACATCCTCAGCTCAGTTATCGTTGCTAACAGAAATTATTCAACATTCTATATCATGTGATTTAATAATAACAATTTTAGTATGATATATTTTTTATTTAAAACCCTACATTTTCATATTCACAGCAAACAACAAAACGTAATACGTATCAACCACAATAAATATCGAACAAATAAACGACACTGAGAGAAATTAAATTAAAAAATCGTGTTTTTTTTACAATCCTGGCATAAACCCATTTTTGTAATCCGAACAGTTTCTCCCAGAGGGGATTAGAAAGGGTTCTGAATTAAAACTCGAAATTCTTGATAAAAATGGTTTGATATTTTCAAAGCTCATTCTGATTAACGTCAGTTCTGCGAATTTATTCAACTGGCTTTAGCTCTTTTCATTTCTACATGATAATTGTAATTTGAATGGCAATTTGAATTATAAATCTTGGCTTACCGATAGAAGTAAATGATAGATTTAATGTTGAAGTAATAAATTCTCTTCATCTAAAGTAAGACTATTCTGATAAACACCCGCCGAAAGCCATAATTCACTCTATTGTAACTTGATGGAACTACCTGGAATCTACCACCGTATCTCAAGACTGAGATGCAGCTATCCAGAAGTAACCACATCCCTTTCTCACTTTAGAACAGTGATGGATTTAAAACTTTTGAAACATTCAATGGTTATGGATAATTTAATCCCTAGAAAGAATAATATGAAAAATATCAGACCTGAGCAGTTTTAACTAAACTATAAGTTTTGACGGCCATCGCTTTGTACTTTGACAAACAATAAAAATATTTTACTCAAAGAGCAGAATGCTCCTGTCGGAATTTGATGTCAGACAGTCAATGAAAGATTATTAAAAAAACACATTCGAAGAAAGGAAAGAAGCAGAATAATCTAACAAAGTAGACTTTTCTAAAGTTAAGCAGTGCATTAGTTGAACAATTAACATGACTAAATAAATAGCGCAAACAAAAGCTACACAGCTAGACACAAGCACGCCTAGATTCTAGTCTTCGGTGACCTAAATACAATTTACACAATTACCTCGTTTGTGCATTTGCAGAATCTATTCAATTTCAACAAGTTGGAGGACAAACAAACTAATGGTAGGTTTGATGCAATTTGTAATGTCATTTGCAATCCGACAGTTTACTTAAGACGTCTGTGTTGCGTTACGCAGTGGTCATACGCCCACATTCCGACGGCATGCAGTTAGCAGCTTGCTAGCTAGCAAACATGGATATTTGCGAAGCGTTTGTAATGTTGAAACAAAAAAAAAGAAATTGAAAATCGAGTTGTAACAAAACGATCCTGTCAACATTTTCGCACGTGTGAAATACGCAAGTATTAAACTTAGAAACCTTCCTCAAGAATCACTTGATCTATTAAAAAAACCGCATCAAAATCCGTTGCGTAATTTTAAAGATTTAAGCATACATAGGGACAGACAGACGGCGGTTAGCGACTTTGTTTTATACTATGTAGTGAAGATCATCTATATTTGTATAACATGAAGATTGAAAAATGAACATTACTATTAGTACAACATTATTAGTTCCTTTAAATTACCTAAATAATAGTTTCTAAAAAAACTATTTCTACTCCCTTCTTAAAAGTATTGTAGATAAGAAAAAGGATACAGAAACTAAAATGTCCACAGATGTTTCAGTTCTCACAGCGAATTCTATTTTTATTCATATAGCTAACTCATATTTCTAAGATCTGAGGAAGGGGTGTAGAAATAACAGATCCGACTAGTTTTAAACTAGTGCTTTACTAAAAGTGATTGAGTTGTTTTCATAACCCATAAATCTAAAGAAGATGGTAAAGTAACTGCAAATATTAAAATTTTAGTTCTAATACAAAAATTGTGATATAATAGAAGGTACTGTTAACGATTTCAAAGTATTTTAGTCTTTACATTTGATTCTCTTATGTCAATATATTTATTTTTAAAGATATTTCCGTGTATCATTCCAAAAAACCTAGACCAGCTCCTCGCCAACCCTAACAAATCCCTAAGAAGTTATTCTAAACACATTAAAATACTGTTAACTAAAAGATCTGTAATCAACGGACAATCTGAAAATATATAAATCCAATGATATAACAAGATTTAATTTTCACCAAAACCTAATGAAATTATTAATATCTTACTACATGAGATGAGACTACGTGTCTCATACAAACATCATACACCACTAGGACGAGAAAGATAGAGATTTTCTTGGAATTTCTAGGAGAAAAATCGGACCAAGGCAATAAGAATCCCGAAAAGGAAATTAACAAATAAGATAGATATTTTTATGATTATTATATTCTTTTATACAGTTAATCCTCTGAGTAACTAGCTATTAGGATTTGTTTGCGTACGCCATTAATAGCTAAAACCGGTCTTATTTTGCAGTAGATGAATCATCGTTATCAAAAGCCTGACTAAGAACTGAGAACTGAATCAGTATTCGCTAAACATTGTGAATGGATTCAATGTAAAAGTGGGTCGATTAACGTTAATTTTAGATTGGATTGTATGTGCCTTGTTAGTCTTATAGTTATTATGTTATACCTTATCTGATTTGAAGTTCGACTCCCCGGCGTTTTCATTTAGAAATTGTTGTTTATAACTATATAACTGTGAGTGGATTTTTGCTAAGGTAAATAATATGTTATCTAATTGTAACATTTTTCTTTCATCATTATGTTGATTGAGTAGGTATGTCTATTAATAAATACAATGAATATTCAAATATTCAAATAAACTCTTTTGCATTAACATTTCTGTTTGACATTCATAGTTTAATAGACATAACAATATAAAATTGACGAATACTTAATCCCTTGAGTTCTCTTTACGATAGTCATTAATTTATATAAGCCTAACAATGTAACCTTCATGATTAACCATGATCATTGTCTTCATCGTCGTCAAGACTTATCAATATTTTGAGTCAAGTCTAAATACAGCTCAAATTCTGTGTTTATTAGATGCAAGGCAATATAAATATCAGTTCTTCGTGTTAGAAGAGGTCTTTGATCAGCAGTGGACACATATTGGCTGTGGTGTGTATTGCATGTGTGTGAACACAATGACAAAAGGAAAGTAAAAAGAGATAAAGCCCTTGCTGCACTGTATTGTCCACTTCATCATTATCTTACCTATAAGAGTGACTAGCAAACTTACACTCACCGGATTAGACCACAAATTTTGAGGATAAGCAACATCGAAATTCTTAATAACGCTTCTATATCCAACATAATGTTTAGACCAAGTCTGGTCTAAATAAAGAAACATAAGTGAGATTGTATTTAAAAATTTCATAACACCGATTTGTCGTAAACACAAATGACGGTGCTCACTCGTGTGATACTCAAGGTTGATGTTACATCTCATAAAATATGCGGGC